AAATATTATATTTAATATTTTGTTAAATTAAAAAAAAATAGTATATATTATTTATAACTACAGTTTTATACATATTGCATTATTAAATTAAATACCAAAGGTTTTGATTTTTTTTCTAACAATTTTTCTAATGTACATTTAGATTTTATTCACGTTTTTACCATTAAAATATTTCAGTTTCTGAAATCGATATGAAGACTTTTTCTATTTACATTTATTTTCGTCTTTATTTGAAATGTCAAGCGCGTGACATACATTTCTACAGAAATAAAAAATATGCTAAATGAAATTGATAAATTATATTATTAATAAACTCATGTCATATTGCAGTCTATCATTGACCATCTTTTGCCGTACAATATAATATGCACCTAAATAAATATAGTACCCAGTTTATTCCACACGTACTTTATTCATGCATTTAAATCAATTCGTTTAACTGTAGTTTATTTGCTTAAGGATTTATAGTGTAGCGCCCCTGCTGAGTGCATGCAATCCAATTGCAGCTCTAACTCCAATTGCAAATCCAACTTGAATCCAATCTGAATGCTGTGCTGTGCGTGCCTAGACCAAAATCAAGCCAACTGACCGTCTGACCGTCTGATCGTCTGATTTTCTGAACGTCTCATCTGATCATTGCTCTGTCATTTGCGGTTTGCCTTTGCTTAGGCTTTGCTTTGTGCCTGTCTGCAGCGTCGTTGTTGCGATCGTTCAGGCCCAGAGATCAAATGTCATCAAGTTGTCAACTTCGTTAGCTTGCCAATGGCAGCAACAACAACAACAACGACTTGCAAATCTCTTTTGGCCAGCTCCTTGCGCTCGTTAATAGGCGAATGGGAATAGGAATGAGGCGCATGCGCAGTCAGCAGCCGGCAGCTGCTTATTGATGGTCGGACTGTCTTGTCTTGTTACCGTGCCAATGGCAAATGTTAGTTACTCCCCGAAAAGACTTTCAACACGCACACACACACACACACTTACACACTCTCACATGTGGCAGCACGCATGCAAGACCTATAAATAAAGATTAACATCGGAGAAGTGTGCAAAACTTAAGCCTGGTCTCTCTAAGCTGTTTAAGTTTTCTTCTTCTCTTTTTATGTATTTCTCTCCTTTTTTCTTTGAGTGCCAGCCTCAGCGAAATTGTCAGCAATTAACCTTTGGGTCAGTCTCTAGTGTTCAGAGTCTGGGGCTGGCTCTCTTGCTTTCGCTCTCCGGCAACGCTTGCAGTCCTGTGATTTATGCCACAAAGTGCCTTCAAGTCAAACACAATCAAGCTGGTAAATTTATGGCACAGTTCGGAACGCTGTTGCAGTCCTGCGCAGAGAGACGTTGGCCGGGTCCACCCTGCGGAGAGACGTATTCATTCATATGCCCATAATGGCCATTCACATCGTGCACTGTCACATTACTCAGCCTCCGGTTTGTTCTGGTTCCATTTTTCCATTTCTGTTTGTTTTTGACGAACAACTCGGCGAAACCTTGAGCTGCCGAGATGCGTGCAGCACGCTGTGAGCTAAGGATTTGTCTACCTGTGCTCTGGCTAACTCAAATTAGCATAGGTGCGCTAGAGGATGACTCTTACGGCTGTAATCCGATGCTCATTTATACCTGTGACAGGTATTTGGGTGGCTCATTCGAAAGGAACACCATTTTGTAAAATACTAGTTTTAGTTTGTATTAGCTCGAATCTAGGATTAGAAATAGACAATAATAAATAGATTATAAATCTGCGCAAATTCTACTTCATTTATTACATTAAATTATATTTTGTTATTTATATATAATTATAAAAAAAAGACTTAACATTTTAAAAATATTTTGAATCAAAATTTTTCCATTTAACAAAATGTTTCTATTCAACAAAATTCTGCAATAATCGCTGCAAAGCTACATTTACTTTCTCACAGTGTATTCTGGCTTACGGGCCGTTTCACACGGCGCATGCGCAGGCAAACGGGGCATAAATACGACAGCAACAACAACAACATGTTAGTTAACCCATTGAAGCCTATACAACTACCACATATGAATGCGCGACAACTGCGCTGCTGCGGCCGGCAGCGTCGCCGTTGCTGTCGCGTCGGCAGCGCGCGCCTAAGCTGCGGCTGCGGCTCAGTTGCCGTAGCACCTGGCGCTCAGTTGTGGGCAGCGCGGCGAGCTAACAACAACGGCAAACAAAACGCAAACGCAAACGGCAAAGGCAAAGCCAATCGCATTCGCGACGTGCTTAGAATTTTGTTATTGTTACGATTTTGTTCGAGATGAGTTAGAACTTAATGTGGAGTTCGTTTGGGCGAAGTAAAACGAGAGAGAGAGAGAGAGCGAGCGTACGAACGAAAGATAGAGAGTCGAGAATTCAAGGAGCACAAAAAGTGAGAGCGTGAGCGCGGGAGTGTGTGCATACGTGTATGCCTGTGTCTTTGTGTGCGTCTGCGTCTGTGTGTGTGTGAGATCAAGATCTACTACAGACAGCAGCTAGCTGCAGCTTCTCATCGCCTGGCTGCAGCAGTTACGATTCGTGCGCGTCGCTTGCAACATCAAATTGTTTTTCGGTTTCCGTTTCGGCTTCCATTTGTTGTGTTGTGTTGTGTTGTGTTGTGCTGTGTGTAACTGTGTGTGTGGGAAAAAATGCAACAAAAATGTGTGTCCATTAGTTGTAAACGTTTTGGCGCTTGTAATTGGCGGCAGCTGCTTTTGTTTTGCCTTTAAGAGCAACCAACAGTGAAACAGGTGCGTCGACGCATGAAAACCTACCAAAAAAAAAAAATTAAATAAAATAAAATGAAAACAAAAACAAATATCCATTACAAATGCAGCTATAAAACTAGTTGAGCCTAGGATAAAAAATAGTAAAAAACATATAAAAGCAATTAAATCATTAAAAATGCATTATAAACAACAACAACAACAGCAGCAGCAACTCAAGGGAAATTCTGTAGTGGTCAGAACACCTGCAATGACTGGTAGAAAATTTACCAACCATATGCATTCGCTGTGAAGATGCTGCGACTACTACACTGATCTCTGCCCCTGGAGCGCAGCTTCGACCTGTTCCGCACTGAGTCATTAGTGCGATTCGCACTAAAAACGTACCCACGCCATTTTCAAGTGTTTTATATATCGTGTGCTTTTCGGACTTTAACGACCAAGCCAAATAACAAACAAAAAAAAAAACAAATTTACTAGCTCATACTCAAGTTTGCTTGATTTGTTGAGGCATTGGACTTGGCTAAAAGAATCGCTTGAATTGGCCAGCACACCAACGCAAAATACTTGATTCTTAATGTTTCGGCTTATGGCTTCTATGCGTGGGCTCAATTTGCCTGGCCAAGTTATGGCCACTAAGGCTACTAAGCGGCGAAACCGCGCAATGGCCAAATGTTCGTTAATCAAATGCCATGATATGAGTGCAAACTTTTAATTGTTGTAATTGAAAAATAGTTGGCATCGTTTCGCTCGGTGTGTGGGCTGGAAGATTAAGGCACTTAATGGAGCTCTGCTGCGTCTAACTAGAAGTTGCAAGCAATAAAGAAACTTTATACTTTTCGATATAGCAATAGTTTTATTATAAAAAAATCCAGTTTTCTTTATGTCTTTATTTTGTTAAATTCTAATTTTAAAATTTTAGAAAGCACCAATAAATTTTATAGAATACATATATATTTTATTAGCTCGTAAAACTTGAAAATATTTTTTGCTTTGATGGAGATATTTTAAGAAGATAATGCATTTTTTCTGATTATTCAATTTTGAAGTTATTTATGGCTTAGATTTTTAATATGTTGGAATAAAAATTTGATTGAACAGCAAAAGAATGTAAATATTCACACGAATCACAAATCAAATTCATTTTGCGGGATTATCCGAACTATTTGTCATCGAAAATATATAAAAGTTCTTGGAGCTTAAAAAACCAAATATAATTTTGCTTTGAGTTGAAAAAATCTATTTTAGGCAGGAGTCGTAAAGCTGAAAAAGAAATAAAAATATAACTCAATTTGAAAATGAGAAAAATATATATGAATATATAATATAGACTTACAATTAATTAAGATACTATTGATAATAATTGTCAAGGCGGATGTACGGTACAGCAGAAAATTAAAAAAGCTATACAACATTTTCTGTTTTACAAAAAATATTAAAGTACTTAAATT